GTCCCAATGGTTTGCCAGCCCCTGGTAAGTATGCTTAACACAAGAGTGGGGGGCACGCCGCAAACGCAACGAAAGAACGAAGAGATAGATACATGGACACATGGATGGATAGACAGGACAGATATGTAGATAGATAGAGAGACAGATAGACAGACAGGTAGATGCTCGAAGGTAGGTAGATACGTAGATAGAGAATGATAGAGATATGGCTAGAGAGTGAAAGAGAGAGCCCCCCTCCGCCTACTCTTACGAGAGAGAGAGAGAGAGAGAGAGGGAGAGCAGTAGAGGTAGAAGTCCAAAGGAGGTTGACAGCAAAAAAAGGTGGGATCACGCTGTAGTCTTGGTGTCAGTACTGCTACAACCGGATAAGGCAACCTCCAACGTAACAGGCAGTCACCCCCCGGCAACGCCCGGGGAAGCGCGGAACACCCGCACAGAACAGGGGCTCGGCACATACGAGATGGCCTAGGCCGGGGAGTGAAGTTGTTTCCATGTTAGTTCTTAGGTGCGGTTCGGGACGGGCCAATCTGTGATAGCCGAGCCTCAACGTCTCACACCCAGGACTTGGACAACGCCGTAGCGCGAGTGCGCAGGGTATTGGGGTTTCCCGCAGTACCCAAACGCCCAGCAAGCAAGCAAGCAAGCAAGAGAGAGAGGGAAAGAGAGAGAATGCTTGTGTGGAAGGTAAGTTGCCTGCTGTTCCTGTCCCTGTGGAAGTAGAAGACCGTGTGTGTATGTGCGTGTGTGTGTGTGTATATATGTATATATATATATATACATACGTACATATATATATATATATACAGATTTTTTTGTGTACACATTTACGTGTATTCAATTAAAAGCACAAGTACACCTACACATAAACAAATAAATACATATATGTGCTGCATATTTTTGTAATGCCTGTTTAGTTGTGTATTTACAGCATGCATGCACACATCCAGTGTGCAGCCTTCAACCGGTCACGCTTTACATGTCACGGTTTTGAGGAGTCATTTAGTGAACAGCCGGAGGCTGCAGTGACAGTGTTGTGCGTCAGGACGTGATGCCCTTGTCAGTGCGGCAGCTTCTGTGGCACCCTCTTGACCCGAAGCCTGAAGGCCTTGAGCGGTGCCACGCAGTGGTGGAGTCTTGCACGCCCGTTCGGGATGGCACTGTAAATAGATTGCCGCAATTGCCTTTCCAGAGTGGCAGAGATGTTTCTTGTACTTCGCTTTCACGGACTGTTTCTTTGTTCCATGTTTCGCCGCCCATAGTAATCCCATGCTCATCATAATCATTGGACAGGGCATGCCTCAAGCTTCTGCCGATGAGGATTGGGCGAGAAGCATGGCGGAGATCTCACTTTCACTGGCAAGCTTCCGTCTCTTCTTTGCAGCCGGACTCATTAAGATGCGAGCAGGAAGCCCATGTTGGAAGGATCTGACATGCTTGTACGACCACTACGAGACACAGCCGATGCCAAATTCCGCGGCATGGTATTTCCACAATTACACGCCGCGACCTTTCCTCCGAATCATGCAGTGGTTCGCAATAGATGTGTCGGAATGCATCGTTCCATTCCTGCTTCTGGGTTTTGCAGTGAGCATGGGGCCTCTTGGCGTCTTGCGGCGTGAGCTACTGCGAAGGGACGAGTGGTATCTCCAGTGGCTAGCATGCTTTCCAGCGCGCTTGGTGGGATCTGTCACCATCATGACCTTTGTTCTCGGTATGTTCGTTGGCGGCAACTACGCCTTCCTGCATCCTTTGTCGCTGGTGGCTCTGGTGGCTTCCATGGGTATTGTTGAAGGAGTTCCAATGCAGAAGAAGTCCGTGTCCCCTGAGAAAGCCGTTTACCGCTTGGTCATGCCGTGGCTGACGCTTCTTCTGTTACTATTCGCGTTTCTGCCCAGCCTTCGAGCCTTTGTCACCGGGCCCGAAACAGAGGACGTTTGGTACGGGTGTAGCCGGCACAGTGCACCCATGCATCCTCGAGAATGCCTCTGTATGTTTTTGTTGTCAAGGCCTGGCTGTCGATGGGGAACGAGAGGCTCGGCATCCTGGAACCTCTCGCCCAGTCAGGCTTCGTCCGAGCAGCCGGACAGATGAAGCTTGGCTCGTGCGGATGACATGGCTGCATGGTCTTGCATGCCCGGGGTCTGTTGCAAGGCCTGGGCTGCACAGGCGGAAAGGGTATTCTGGCAATAAGCTTTCTGAACCCGGATGTCCACGGATTTTTCTCGCAGCAAGAGTTGACTGCCACTCTTCGCTCTGCTTGGAAAGTTGTTTGCCTGGCTGAAGTAAAGAGATGAGGAACCTTGGAATTGCTTACAACCACCACGCGTACTTCGCCGGTGCCGTCCATACACGAAATGAGCCGCTCGACTCACAAACATCCTGCGGACACGCTGTGGTGTCACTTCCTGGGATGTGCTGCAGTCCTAACCACATCTGGAGTTTGCGAATCTAACGCAATCCCTTCGAAGATGTCTGCAGGATGGTTCTTTTTGCCGATGCCGGCGAAGGCAGGGCTTTTCTTGAGAAAGTTTTGGGCCGAGAGGGCAGAGACAGGCTTAATCGAGTTGGACATCCCGTACAAAGTCGGCCGCGGCCTTGGTGACCAGTGGCCCTGAGTTACCCCTGGGTTCCGAAAGCTGCGAGAAGTGTACTTTCACGTAAGTGCTTTCTTTTTGATATGCAAGCCCCCAAGAAAGGCACCCCCTAAGTCTTCGCAGGCCGCCCGGACCGTGCACCCCGCCAGACCAGTCCCTTGCATCGGCGCTTCGCCTTGCAGTGGTGGTTCCTGGCTCTGGGTGCCTCGGCGGCTTGAAAGAAAGAAGAGGACGCTCTTTTGGCTTTCGGTTTGGCTTGCCGAAGTTCTGCGGGGAAGCCAACTAATTATGTAAATATTTGCCACAGGTCTGGCCCACAACTGTCACTGTTCATCAGTCCTGCCTGACATGTTGTATCTTGATTCGTCGTTGCCATGCAGCGGACTCTTCAGCCTTCTCGGAAGCATGCATGGAGACAGCATGAGTTTCAATCAGGCAGTGATCCTTCCTGGCTGATGTCCTTTATGGAGCTGCTTTGCGCCTTGGCCTATCCTGAGAATGAAGCGGGCTAAGAGCTTGGAGGGCACCTGCCAAGACAGCACCGCCTTCCGCAGGTCACAGAGATAGAGTGGCGTGGGAGGCGGTGGAATGGAACGACAAGGTGCATGCCAACCTCAGCAAGCTCCAGAAAGTCTCAGTGCAGATGTACACGTACCACTTTTCCAAGTGCTTTGTCCCATTTTATGCAGCTGGACAGTGCACAGCTGCTCGCCGCTTCGTGCCCGTTCTGACGAGCCTTTAACCGAGGCCTGGTTCTTCTGATTGGTGGAGCAGAGACTTGCTCCGTGGCCACGGGCTGGAGATCTCCTGTGTTTGACTGCCAGTGCTTCCCAGGTTGTTTAGAGGAGCTCAGGCGAGGATCCTCGTGAGAGCAAATACTGTACAGAGGCAGACAACAACAGCTTGTCTCGAAAGGGGCGGGAACGCCGTCTTCGTGCCGTTGTCATTCGCAGGGTTGACATAGCAGAAGCGTTGTCAAAACAGGTCCTGCACGTCCTGCTCTGTTAACCAGTGCTGCCACCCTTGAGTGAATGAGCAGTGGCATCAAGACCAATTGCACAGGACCAGTCCAACGGCTTCTTCATGACAATGGACCTGTGCTGGGACTTGCTCTGATCTAATTGGCAGGCGACATGTCATCCTGGCTGAGGATGCGCAGGTCGATCAGTTCGCACGCGTTGTGCGAGCAGACAAGAATTTGAGCAGCCGCTCGCTTACCTGCAGTTCTACATGTGGGCCGTTGTCCCTGCAGACATCTGTAGGCGCAGCGATGGTCTTCGAATGCCATAATGCCTTGCCTCTGAAAGCCTTTCCGAAAGAAGGGGCCAGACTTGAGCTGCAGCATGCGAACAGGGATGTCAGCTGGTTGCTTGCTCTTGGCCAGAATGATGAGGTAGGACGAGTGCCGTTGTCTTAAACTCCGGACGTGCCGAGATGGCTTCAATGCAGTGGGCTTCTCGCAGGGAAACGCGCGATTCCTACCTTCTGCCAATTCATGTCAACTACGCTTTCAGCGTGTCCTTCTCCAGTGCTCTGATGTGAACTAGACATGATGACAGGCTTTAGGTTGGGCGTGCCGTCAAGATTCGCCTGCTGTCACACTGCTCAGACCGTGATCCGCGGCTACATCCACAAGTACAATGACCCGCCTGTCAGGACGGACGGAGTCGGGCACAGATGTTTGCTTCTCGGAAGCGCTGCCCACCTTCTGGAATCACACCCCAAGTGTTCGGTCGAGGCCGCGGCTCTAATGAACTTTTTTTTATGTGATTCGGGGGCTGTCCTTCGATTACATGCTTGCACGACCGGCGAAGTTAAGATCCAAGATCCTGACCAGGAGCTTTCTGTCCATGCATGGCGTTCTCATGGGAGCTTTGATCTCAGTTGTTTTTCGCTGCAAGGTATGAGATGAGCAAGAGGCAGCAGGCTTGTGCGACTCGTTCCAGGTCAATGGACTGCCACAGTGCCCTATGGAAGCCGATGGCTGAGGATGCGGTCGGTTGCCTTTCATACATATCACCAGTTGCAATGTCTGAAATGCTCCGCTTCTGTCCGCACTTCACTGACCTGTCTGTCGAGGTGCCAGGGCTTGGACTTATTTGCCGAGCAGTCGATGCAATTGTCTCTCATGCAGGACCTGTCCCAGCCTGAATTTCGAACAATTCGAGCACAGGCTTGTCGAGTTGACACCGGCTGTTCGAGGAGTATACAGCAGCTTCGTGCCTCGGCTGCGTCAGCAAAGCTAGAAGTTCCAGGCTCTGACGAAGAGCCGTCGGGCAGATCGTTGCAACTTGGGGTTCAAGTTATGAGACGGCATGACGCTGCGCTCGAACCTGTCTGTTTTGGCTCAGGATTTGTTTTGCCTTGCAGTTTGCGTGCCTTTAAAACCGCACTGCAAATTAAAGGATGGAGTGCTTACGTGCAGAGCTCGGCCATCATGCGCCCACCTCTGCACCTCAGCACCTCCGTCTGCATGCCAGTTTCAAGTCAAGAGAGCCCGAAACACTCGACGACTCTCTCTTCTGGAAGCGGGCAACATCCCCAACCTCCGAAACAGAGACGGACGACCTCAGTCGATCATCACTGTCTAGCTTTGAACGGAGTTCGAGCGACGAAACATTGGAGCAGGAGCTGGAATCCGTCAGGGAAGTCACGCATCTCTCAAAAGCACGAGCGCTGGCTTTGCAGAAGGAGCTCTTGGCTGCTTTCTCAGCTCCAAGCTTTCAGAAGTGCTTTTCCGAACTTGTTCGGGGCAAGAAGCGTGTACTGTACGAGCAGCTTGTCTGCAAGCAGCAAATGGAGCTGATTGGCAAGTACGGCTTCGAAGTGTCGAGTGCGGGGTTGATGGACATGCAGCAAGCCCTGAAGAAGTTTTCGGACGATCCGGACATCCTAGTGAACGACCTGGCCATCGAAGAAGCGTTGGCTATCGACAGGACTCACATTAGCCAGAGCAACGAAGAGCAGATCCATGCGAAGCACAACCCAAAGCCCGTAACGTCCGTCAGCGTCTGCGATTTGTGCCTGGGCTAATGGTGCTTTTTTTCGGTTGGGCAAAGCGGACAAAAGGGGATTTTTTGGGCTCTCTCTTGACATCAGGCTGCGTTCCCAGCTCGTCAGCTTCGGCTATGCGCCCTTCCAATCTTCCATAAAGCAGTTGAAGGACACCGTGGACAGCCAGCTGGGACATCCCGACCCACAAGGACACGTCAGCTTTCTTTCGCTTCCCAGTCCATGTTTGTTTCGATCTTTCGAGACTGAGCACGGACCGAACATGTCCAAGAAGTGCTTAGCACATGTTCGTCCCAAGACAGGGTACTACCATCTACCGGGACGGGCAGAACTGGCTCTCCAGGCAAGCCGGTAAAGAAGCAGTATTGTAGTGCCTTGGGCACAGCATCGTTCTGCCAGGTCCAGAAGGAGATCTTGCCCAGCTTTGGTTTCGAGGGATCCAAGGTTGGCGTGCAGGACCCGTTGTCTGCCACGTCGCGGCTGCGCTGCCCCTAAAGGTTCACATCGCAGACTCGACAAGTAGAGCAGTAGCTTCTTCTTCTCTTTGCGCTTGACACTTTCACTGCCATTTTACCGGTACCACTAGTGCCACTAGTGACACAACCGCACGCAGAGTGAGCAGCAACTGGCGTCGGTTGCATGTTTTTGGTCTCAACCTCCGGAATCGAAACCTACGTCAATCGGTTCGGCCGGGGCTTTGGTGGTGCTCAATATATTCAGATATACATATACACACACACACACATATATATATACATATAAATAATAATAATAATTATAATATTATGTAGATCTCTGTGCAGTACACAGCACATGGTTTTGCAATGCTCTGCAGGAGATGATCATGCATTGCGCCCGTTTTCTCAAGAACCGAGAAGTTGCCTTGCTTTTGGATGCGGTAAATGCGTCCAGCTCCCAGCTTCCGCTAATTCTGAGCCAGGGCAAAGGGACTTCGAGTGGATTGGATTCACTGCAGCGGTCATCATGGACATGCACTTCTCGGCGAGGATAGAGCTTGCGTCTTTGCTCTGGTTGGCCCAGGAAGCTTGGCATGACGCCCGCCGCTTGCCGCCGCTTTCGTGAGCTCGCAAGCAGCTTGGCAGACAGGTGAAGCCATGCTGCTTGCCACCCAGGACCTCGTAGTGGTTGAGAAGGAAACTGACCGGCAACCAGCCAACTGCCTCGTGTACCGTGCCTGCAGGAGAGTGGTGCAGTCGGACGCCGTCACAGCGTAGTCTTTAGGTGCTGGGCTTCGAAACAAGCTAGTTGGCGCTGGAGTTGTGCCTCCACAGTGTCTGGGAAGGCCACGGAATGCCAACATTACCTTCCAGTTCTTATGGTATCGTACTGATCTGGGAATTACAACCACATGCTGTACAGTTTCCGCACGGAACGAATTCGATTTCCAGCCAAGCAGTTTGATTCTCAATCGCAAACGGGTAATACGTAACGATTCCTGGCTGCAACCAGCAGAAGAAACCGGTATGCAGCGACCGGACATGCAAAAATGCGGATGCTGCGGCAGGGTCGCTGCACTAAGTGCTCCTGACGCGAGTTCGATTTTGCTTGGCTATTGGACACAATTTCGTGGGCGACCTCTGGGACTGAAGACGTTGATTGGGTGAATTGTTGCAGGAAGCGGGTCTCCTCAGAGTCTTGCTTCAGCCTCGGAGGTTTTTTTTGAAACGCGTCGGGCACTCTCGACAGGTCTGCCCTGGCTCTTGGAACAGAAAACGAGCCGAGCGCGTTCGGCCCACCATCGCTCTGAACAGTAAACCAACTGTACCTTACCAGGTATGCTGCTGTGACTTTGAAGCGCTTTGAAGGTCGGGAGTATGCCGGCTGTAGTCCATAGCTGACTCCTGGCAAAAGACACTGGCCCTCTGAATTCAGCGCAAACAGCGGTTCGTCTCATTTGAAGTGTGGAGCTCTTGGGTGGGCAATTTTTTTTTCAGATTCGAGTTCTGGCTCGGCTGATTGAACTGAGCAAGCTCGGCTGCAGAAAGTTCTTGTTCTGCTTAAGCAGTTTTAGCTGCTAGCTGCTAGCTCCGTACATGTCTGGACACGTAGTAACCTAGTAGCGAAAGAGCAGGGCACTCACATAGTTGACTGATGTTGACTGTCTCAGCTGTCTGTTGACAGCCGACAGCATGAGACTGTATGTGTTAAGACAGCGGAGAAGGCGCAGGGTAACCAGAGTCTCCTGCAGACTCGGCCATTCCACTCTGATCATGATCTATGCAGAAGGGAAAAAAGCTCTGCACACCCGGAGCCCCAGTCCGCAGTCACAGGAGAGATCTTAGATTCGGTGTGAAACTTGCTAAGCCACGGCCCAGGTGCAGGACCACCTGGCCCAAGCGAACTACTTCCGCGACGCGGCAAACCTTGGCGAGTACAGATCCGGGGCCCACTTCTTGCCCTACATCAACAACGAGGCCTTTTCAAAAATTAGCCAGCTTCCTTCGAGACAGGTCCGACACGACGGCTATTGTATGCTTCAGTGGAAGCGAGGGGGAGCTGCAGACAACATCAGATAACAGGTTCAGGTTCTGCCCCTGCCTACCTACTGTAACCACACCTATCCTGCGCGTCCGGAACGGACAACCTCAATGGGGACGCCAATAGCCAATCAATGCATGAAGAAGAACCAGGAGGAATGCAACTCTAGAGCTGTAGTCAGAACGTTAGGGCCCGTGGGCATATGCTTGCAGTAGGGGTTCCTGCATTAGGGGAAATGAATCAGGCATGAGTCCTTACCATGATTGAAACTCGAGCCCTCCATGTCTTTGTCCAGGTCAAGGGCCAGGACGGTGTGTTCGTGTCGGTTCCGGCTTGCCTGCACAGTGAAGTGGACGGCTCAAACATTGGTGCATTCGCAGGAGAATGCCACGTACAAGGAGAATTTCAAGTCCTTGGAAAAGCTGGTGCTGGTGATGGCTGAAGACGACACCATGGCAAGTCTGGCAACACTTGTCGGCATGTCACAGAAGTCGAGTGCTGTCTGTTTGCGCGTGCCAGGTCCATCCAAAAGAAAGTGCCGTGGCAAGGAATTGTCAGTGACACGGTCTTGGTGTCCTTGTTGCTCCTTGAGGTGAGCACTTCGGCTACTTCAAAGATGGCTCAACGGAGGCCGTTCAGAAAACGAGTGTTTCACTGTGCATCTATTCGATCTGGATTGTGCATCTCTGCACTACCCTCTGCACTACAAGTAGGCTGCAAGTGTAACACGATGCCGAAACATTCGCCTTGCTTTGGAGACCTTGGTGGACATGCGTGATGCACCGTGGTATACTGACGATTGGTTTGGTCTCAAGAGCTTGGACCAGGAGACCGGCTGACAGGGTTCGTGTTTGCGCACGACCTCGCTACAGAAGCCAGCTACATGCTTTGCATGGCCGAAACCGGCTTTGCTGCTTGTAGCGGCCCCTCAGGACAAGAAGATCGACTTTTTGTCGACACCAGGCAACCGGGTGAACGTCACATTTTGCATGACATAGTGGATTGCTCAACGACGAAGGCAACCACCTGCGCTTCAAGACTGACTTCTTGGTTGAGATGGTGCGGAAGCTTACACAGTACGGCATAGTGTAGCGCGACCCACTCAATGCTGGCCAAGATGAAGTAGGCAACCTGCTTTTAATGTTGATAAAGCTGTGGGATGCTCACCCATCCTGTCGTCTTATCTGCTTGCTCCTCGTAACCTCAGGTCAAAAAGTACTTCGTGACCTCCAGCGACACGGCCATCATGGTTTAAGAATTTTGAAGGGCTTGTCGACCTCTCTGTCTCTGATCCGGATTGCGATCGCTCTGACAAAGCCGGCGGGGTATAGGTCTCATGGCGGTTTAGGTGATGATAAGATGGCCTGTCGCACAGCGTCGCTGCCACAACAGTTTGTGTAAATCTGTTTCGGAGCATGAGAGAATGTTCACCAGCTCGCACATGTCCGCTGACGCAGCGATTGGCTGCGGGTGGCATGGCATGGCCCATGGCTTTTCGTTCACCGTTTGGTTTTCACCCAGTCGCATCTCCGGCTGCCAGTAATACAGACAAGAATTTCGCTGAAGTCCGAAAGCATACGTACTTACTGTTTACCGAAGCTTCGGGAGAGCGGGGCTTAGCAGCAATCTGACCTTATGACCCAGATGCAGCAAGCAAAAGCGGCAGTGCACGCCTGATTGGTCCACAGGGGCTTAGAGCCTTGGCCCAGCTAACACAGGTATAAGTTTCCTCGCCCTGCTGAAGCTCTCGACGGCACAGGTCTGGGCTCAGCGCCTTCACGGTGGCCGATGGTGCAACACGAGTCGTGCAGGCAAGGGTCGAGGGCTGTAGCTGCACTATGCTGCGCTTGCTGCTCGCCCTGCTTCGTCGAACTGCAGGCTCAACCATGCCGCAGCGGGGAGCTTATGCCTAGGCAATGATGATTTCCTAAGCCCGTGCAGGGTCTGGGTTGTCAGAGTCTCTTGAAACCTTTTGCAGCGAGCAACAGCAGTTCCAATCCCAGGCTCGAGCGAATCCCCTTGCCGAGCGACCGCAGCAGTCAACCTGCACAGCGGCTGTGCTTTAATTTTGCCTGCGCTCACGTCAACCCTGCCTCAGTCAGTCTCTGGCTGCCTACCTGGCTTTAGTGCTTCATTGGGTACGCTCATGTCTTTGGGAGGAACTTGCCACAACTGCCGTGACAGCTGCCGTCAGAACTTACCATCATGACCAGACCTAACGGACTATGTAGACTCCTTTCGTCCAGTAATGCAGTCCAGTATGCATCATGTCAGAGTGGAGCATATCGATTGAATAGACACGCACGTGGTCAACGCAGGAATTCCTTCATCGACTCCATGTTTGCGCTGTTACGCCCATGTGCCGGCTGTGTGTTCTTAGCAATTAATTAGACCATGGCCTTCTGTCGAGCCGCAGTTGTGGCGTTCCTTGCATGCCGTGCGAGCGAGCTTCCAGAGGATGTTTGCTCCGGCGATTGCCAGGAAGGGTTTCAGCCAGGGCTTCAGGCATTTTGATTTGTGAAGCAGGTTCAGTGATCGGATTTGAATTTGCGGTCTGGTGAAGTCCCTTAGATAAAGATATGACCTGTGCCAGAGCAACGAAAGGTCTGCTGCTGCTGCTGCTGCTGCTGCTGCTGCTGCTGCTTTGTGAATATGATGCACAGGAGGATGCTGCACGTGGAAAGCAACCCGAAAGCAAGTATTCATGCTTCGGCGGGTGCTGTGACTGCACAAAGGCTTCAGTCTCAAACCTGCCCGGAAGTGACTGGTCAGGCATGAGTTCGCGCTCATCACGGACTTGGACAAAGCGTCACGCCATCCGAGCAAGCAGACATGGCACGCCTGGTTTCGAAGAGGCCGTGGCTGTGCCCCTAGAGTTTTAAAACGTGCTCGGAAACTGGTGGAAATCTCAGCAAATGCATATGCCACATCCTTGATGGTCACTCTTGCACAAACGGGGGAAACAGCATTCGGCAGGTGCGCTTCGCTTCGAGACCGGAGCCGGCCGCTATCATCTCGATTGGCTTCACACGAGCAAGCTTGAAAGCAGCCTTTCCTTCAAGAACCGTAGCATCTTGGAAGCGAGCCGTGAGACCAATGAGGGATTCCAGAGCCGTAGGCAGCAAGTTGCGTATTCCAGTGATGAGGCATGGAGCTAAGCGAGTTGGTCCGTTTCCAGGAACATCTCCTTGCGATGTGCCACTTGTCGCAGACAGGTTTGTGGGATGTGCTGCGGCTATGGGTGCTTGCAGGTGATATTACGGGCCTGGTCTTCGAAGTCGATCCGGAGGAGGGTCAGGCATTTCAACGACTGGCCTTGGCAGACGGCAACGGTAGATCCATGAAGCCCTTCAAAGCTGAGTGGGCCACTGTGAAGGACCTGCCTGCATATTTTGAAAGCGTCTCCTCGTATAGTCAGTACGCATTGGACAGATCCACACCCCCGAAAAAGCAACTCTTCACCGAGATTGTCGTGAGGACGGGTACCTGTTCGTGGGCAGCATGGGTCGTGAGTGGACCGATGACGATGGCTCCGTGGTGCACCGCGATGCACAGTGGGTAAAACGCATAGATTCGAACTGGCATGTCCAGAGCCTGGACTGGGGGCAGAGGTTCGAGGCCTTGCGCGCAGCCGTGGATGCTAAGCTTCCGGGCTACCTGTGGCATGAGGCCATCATTTGGGATGAGTGGCTGGCAAGATGGCTCGTGCTGCCGCGCAAGGAGAGTCGGGAGCCCTACTCTCCGACCGCAGACGAGACGCGGGGCACCAACTTGCTGTTGCTCGCAAACGACGACTTCTCAGTCATCGAGACGCTCCGTATCGGACCACTAGAGCCAGAATGGGGTTTCGCAGCAATTCGCAAGGTGCCAGGGACCAATGACACCTTTGCTGCACTCAAGGTGCGTGAGGTGGGCAAGCGAACTGCGACGAAGTTGTGCGTGTTCGATCTCAGCGGCCGCATGCTCTTGGAGCCTATCTTCGAAGATGTGAGTGCGATGAAGTTCGAGGGTATGGAGTTCACCTGAAACCATGGTCTTTGCCTAGCGCGCAGATGAACGGCTCATGAATGTGCCACAGCCCTGAAGAGAGGATGAGCTCGGGAGAAAATCGAACTCCTCGTAACGGCGACTGAAAGCCTAGGCAAAGAAGTGCTAGCCACCGGCCACCATCTCTCCGGGTTGCATGTTGCCAGGTGAGGCCATGCAGCGGCCATGGCGACACTCTCGGGAGTTTGATCCAAACCCGAGAAGCCCGATCTGGAGGAGCCTTGCAATTGAATGGCTTACTTGCAGCTGCAAGTTTGACCCGTTGGGGCCTTGGGGGGTAACAGGAGCTCTGCAGCCCCGGAGCCTCTTGTTTGGGCCCGGAGTCCTGCAGGGTGCGAAGCCCAAAACATGCTTTGCATGCGTGGATCACGTCCCTAGTCGGCACTTGTGGTGTGGGAGCCGAGGTCGATGCTTTACAGCAGCCAGGCAGCCAAAGTTTCCCATGCGATGAAGTGTTTTAATAAGTGGAGGGCAGCCAACCCCGGAGCCGCAGAGGTAGCATGAAAGCGCTGTCCTTTTTTGTCGCTGTCACTCCACCCCGACCCCTCACCTTGCACCCCAAAGCGTCCAAACTGGGCCAGTCCACCTCCGCCTCCGCCCTTCCACCCCTTCACCCCTCGACCTAGCTGCCACTCTGTGGCCCTGTCTCCCCTCCCTCCACGCCTCCACCCCTGCACCCTTCCACACCTCCATCTACCTCCACCCCTCCATCCTTCCACCCTCCATCTCCGGGCTGCATCACATACAGGGCCATAGGGCCATAGGGTTCGGGGCGTTCTCAGGGTCGCTGCAACTGAACGTTTTCAGGATTTCGGGTGTCAGCAATTCTGATTGAGTTCGCTGCTGCTCTTAATGCTTGGAATGGTTTCTGGGTAACTTCGGATCTCTTGTGGATGCGGGGGTACAGGCTGCTGATTGGGTTCAAGTCAAGCCTAAATCAAGTTGCTCAGGGGGAATTTGTCATAGGAATTTGGACCTAGAGGGTTGGCGACAACCTGTATAGCTGTCGACACACTTTGCAAGCTGGTTGTTGGGTGGTAGTGAGTGGAAGGGTGGGGGAGGTGAGGCGAGGAGTGGCGGTGGGGGAGGGGTGGAGGCATTTGAGGTGGAGGGGGGAGGGGTGGCGGGAGGGGTGTGGAGGGGTGGTTGGAGAAGTAGAGTGGAGAGGGTGGAGAGGGGTCGTGGAGGGTTGGAGCGGCGGGGGGGGTGGGATCCGCTTATTCAAAACAGGCTTGGCGGCCCGGGCCCGAAGCCAACGGAGGTAGTACAGGCTGTTGGACATTTTTTAATCCACACATTCAGCATAGTCACCGTACACCGACCAAATCCGACCAACCAACCCGCAGCGACTCATTGCTCAGCAGATGTTTTCTCGATTTGCTTCGACCCAAAATGAGGCCCTCAGAGCCAGCTTTGCCTGAATTCTTGTTGAATGAAGGATGGTGGGCCAAATCTGTGGCAGCAGGAGGCAACCAGCTGCAGGGCGGTTGCTGCTTTTGCGTTCTTTTGCCGTGTCCATGGAGCAAGAAGATCCGTCGAGGTAGATTTGCAAATTTTGATGCTTCGAATTGGCTCGAAAGTTTCACAGATGGTCTAGCTTTGGGCTTTTCGCAGCTTCCTGGGACATGTCGGAAAGTTCCATTGAACGGCCGCCTACTTAGACGATTGTGCCCGTCTCCTATTGCGGCCGCAAGACAGAGCGTAAGACAATGCCCTTCTACGGATCGCCAAGCCGAGCCACTGATCCGTAGTTTATTGCTTGAAGGAACGAAGGAGACACTCTCTAAAGCCTTGCTCCCATGGATGGTGATGCGGTGGAGGAGTGGGAAGGCGCGCCGAGGAGTGTTCGCCTGCTCTTGGAGTTTTCTTAGACTTCTGTAGAGCTGCTTGAATTCCACTGCTCAAGTGATGCGAGCTGCAACATCTTAGCAGAAAATCCACACTGATAAACCTAGATTTTGCAGGGTTCGGTCGGGTTGTGACTACAATAGGATTCTGCAATTTTGCAGGTCGTTGCCGCTTCGGAAATGTGGTGTAGCACACGTGTGTGCGTAGGTACAAGCTCTAGCGGGCGACCGGCGCAGCTTCGCCGGCTCGACCGCTTTCTGTGTTCCTCAATTCCCTCTCGCCTCCCGCCTGATCATGGCCTCTTTCGGCGCCTCGTCGGCCGACGCTGCCGCCTGGGCGGACTTCGCCTCCGCGGCTGGCTTGGATGTGGTGGCGCCCACTACATCGCCGACGTCGCCGACTACCACTTCGCCTGGTGTGGAGGCTGAGGTGGCTGAGCAGCCCACGTCGGGCGTGCCAGCCGAGGGTTTGGAGATCGCCGCGCCGCCCACATCGGGCGAGCCGGCTTTGGTCGAGCCGACGACCGGTGAGGAGGACATCGCGCCGCCTGTCATGGGCGTGCCCTCTTCCAGCGAGGATGAGGAGGAGCTCCTCGCCGATCCCGCCGGGGCGCCTTTGGTGGGCGCGCCTCCGGTGGCGGTGGACGTGGCCGACGTCGGGGTGCAGACGGCCTACAACGTCCTGATCCCCGCCTTCGACATGGTCGACGTTGCGTCCCAGACCGACGGCAAGGTCGCCTTTTCGTCCTTCGTGGGCGACACCCCCCAGGCGGCGCTGGCGGCTGCCATTCGGGCCTTGTCGCCGGGAAGCCTGTTTCGATTGGACGGGGCGCTGCGCCAGGCGCTCGCCCAGCCGCTGGTGGATGTGGCGCCGTCCTTGGGGGGCGGTGTTGAGGCGGTGCCCGTCCCGCCTGAGATCAACCTCCTTGGTGACACGCCTGTGGGGCCGCCCTCCTCGTCAGTGGGCGTCGTCGACCCGGGCCCTGGGCCGGCATGCGCCCGGATTTTCTGGGAGGAACAGAACGCCACGGCGGTGGCGGAGCAGGCGGCACTTCGGCCGGTGCCCGACGACGACTCCGACCCGCCGCCGGCCACGGCGCTCGAGGAGTACCTCCAGGACCAGGACGACGCCGCCCGGACGTCGAGTGGGCCGCCGCCTTCTGGGCAGCAGTCGTCGTCCTCTACATCGCCTGGAGAGAAGGCGCCCTTCCGGAAGGCGCCGCCCCCGGCCCTAGTCGTGGAGACGCCGGCGACGAAGGTGATCAAGGCGCCGCCGATGCCTTATCCCGACCGGCCCCTCGCGTTCCTCGCCGAGCCGCCCAAGAAGCCGCCGGTCAAGAGGGCGCCGGTGCAGCCCCAGCAGGCGCCACCGCCCGCCGAGGCGGACATCGCGACGGCTCCAGCACCCTCATCGGCCGCGGCGTCTTCATCTGAGACGACGGTCGCCAAGGCCACGGCCGAGCCCTCGCCGACGCCGGCGCCAGAAGACACAGCACTTGCGCCGGCACCCGGCCCTGATGCTGGCAGGGGGCCCTTGGAGGAGTACTTGCGCCGCCAAGCGTTTATTCGCCAGGAGCAGATGGCCCGCAGCCTGGCCGGGATGCGGCTGCTACACGACG